GACCAGAACTTGGCTGGAGATCCTGGCTAAGCTGCTGATCAACTGAACGCTGTCTCCGTGTCATTCCTTCTTCGCCGACTCTGTCCACACCTTTGGGGACCCCTGGACCTGCTGGGGTTGGACCCCGGCACCTCATCTTACTTGAACCCTTCTCAACATTAGATACTGCTGATCTCTTGAAAACCTCTCCTGCCTTGGTTCCTTTTCTTTTCAGGTTCTCTTCTATTTCTCTGATGGTTCCTTCTCTGTCTACTTTGCTCCTGTAGTATTGATGTACGTCTAGAATTCTCTCACTGCCTCCCTCCCCCCACCCCGAGTTGCTGAATAGGTGTTATATGCTACTGACTTCCAAATCCATATCTCCATGGCTCCAGGTACCTTCAGGAGGCCTCAATGCCCAGTGGGGGAGCTCAACATCTTCCCCCAACCTGCTCTTGCCAATCTGCTAAACGGAGCCACCAAGCAGCCGGGCAAGTCAGGTTACCCTGGAGTCATTGGGGGCCACCCTCATCTCCTCCTCACGCCTCCTATCCAATCGCTCTTGCAGTTCCTACCTCTTTAAAACCTCCTGAACCTATTTCTCTTTCCCATTTCAATTGCTGCTGCCTCGGGTCAGGTCCACCTCCTATCTTGTCTGGGCTACTGGAATGGCCTCTGGTTTCCTTTCTCCAACCATCTGCACAAAGTTCAAGTTTATTTGGATCAGCAAAGCGGTCTTTCTAAAACACAGATACGGACACTTTCGCTCCTAGCTTAGAACCCTTCTAGTGTTCTGGAGAATAGTGTACTTCCAAGTATAAATCCATGTCTGTCTGTCTCTGCAACACTACCTTCAGCTCCCCCACCATCCTGCTTCACGCTGCACTCCCTGGGTGTGCTGCCATGCTGCTCACCGTTCCCTTAAGTGCCAGGCAATTTCATTGCAGTGTCTTGCTCATTCTGCTCCCTGTGCCAGGAACCATCTCCTGCCTTCCCTTGCCCCATACAAGCCTGTCTATCTAGGAAACATTCTTTTATCTTCCAAGAGTCGGCTGTATCATGGCCTGTTCCTGAAACCCTTCCCACCTCCTCAGCTTGTCCCTACAGAGTTTAATATCATCACGCCCTCCTAACTGCCCTCGCTCACCCTTTTCAGGTGTATGCCGTAACACATTGTTCTTATTGGTTTTTAGAGAGGGGAAGGGAGAGAGAGAGGGAGGGAGAGAGAAGAAACATCAAACATCGATGTGGGGGAAAAACATCGATTGGTTACCTCTTGTACATGCCCCAACTGGGGGCGAACCTGCAACCCAGGTATGTGCCCTGGCTGGGAATCGGACCCCAACCCTTCGGTGTACAGGATGATGGGTCGACATTCCAACTGAGTCACAACAGCCAGGTCAACACTTTGTTGCTTTTTAATGCATATTTTTCTAGATTGTAAGTTCCATGCGGGCAAGAACTTACCTATGTTTATACGTATACGTTCTGCCTTGTAGACTGGATGACTGAAGATCCCCCTTCTCGGGATTAATAACGCTGATCATTTGCGCACCAAGGCAAACTGTGCCAAATTCCCCAAGAGGTGGGGTGTCTTGATTTGCTGTAAGCAAGAAGCCAGCTGTAGCACCAGGTGGTCTCGTCAGTGGAGCCCAGGGGGGAGGACTTTTTCCTGGAAAGGGGAATCCTGGCAGCTCTGGGAATCTCTGCCAAAGGGACAGAGCAGGGCTGACGAGGAGTTCATAGCCTGTGATATGGGTCCCGCCCTAAAGTCAAAGAGGCTGACAGAAATGGACACTTCGCTGAGGCCTCAGGGGTGGTAAGAGAGCCAGGCTGCAGCAGGGAGCACAGTCTGTCCCCATGCAGCTTGGGACCTAAAAGGCAGGGCAGAGGCATCACCTAGGACATCTCTGGCTTGAGCGGGTGCCTCAAACTCTCAGGAATAGGGTGTGAAGGCTATTCCTAACCTCCTCCCCGACCCCATCAAGTCGAATTCCCCACCTTCAGCTGGCTCTTGGAGATCAGTCCCTGAAAAAAAAGCATGAGATGCTTCAGTGTTGAAGAAGGACAGGACCAGCAGGCTGTGGCTTCGACACTTAATTATAATGTGAGCCTGGGCAAGTCACTTACCTTGCTTAGGTCTCAGTTGCCTCGCCCATAAACTGAACACACCCTGACATGCCTCAACCACTTCACAGGATTATAGTAAAGGCCAAATCGTCATTGTAAGAATAGCCATTCCCTTTATATCCCTTCCTAGGCATCAGAGACTCTGCTAGGCGCTATGCAATGTCTTCAGCCAGCCTCACCACTCCTCTATGAGGTAGAACTATTATCAGCTCCATTTTACAGACAAGTGAACCGAGGGGTAGGGAGGTGGAAATGTCTTGCTAGCGAGTGGGCTGAGTGAGGTGGCGTTTGATATGGAGACCCCGTGGTCTGGTTGCCTGGGCTGTATATTCAGGTATGCGGCTGACCTTGCAGTTCAGGAGCAGAGCGACCGCAGGGCCCCCCTGGGACTCTTGGTCTTGCGGCCACAGTGGCAGCACTTAGTGAGGTGTAGGAAAGAACAGTCCCTTCCCCTGGGCCTCAGAGACGTGTCCCTGAGGGCTCAGCATTCCCTTCCCAACCACAGCGGTTGGTCCATATACTGTACTGAATAGTGGCCCCTAAAATTCATGTCCACCCAGAACCTGTGACTATGAACTTACTGGGAAGTAGGATATTTGCATATGTAATCAAGTTAAAATTACTTCAACTCCTACTGGATTAGGGTGGACCCTAATTCAGTGACTGGTGTCTCTATAGGAAGAGAGAAATTTGGACAGAGATACACACACAGAGGGAAGACGACCATAGGAAGACAAAGGCAGAGATTGAAGTTATGCTCCCACAGCCAAGGATTGGGGAAGAACACCAAGGATTGTGGGAACCACCAGCAACTAGAAGAGACCAGGCATCTCCCCTAGAGCCTTCCGGGAGAACATGGGCCTGCTGACACCCTGGTTTCAGATTTCTAGCCTCCAGAACTGGGAGAGAATACATTTCTGTTATTTTAAGCTACCCAGTTTGTGGTGTTAGAGCAGCCCCAGGAAACTAACATAGTCCCCTAGTGCTGTGCCCACCACAGCTGGGAGCCCTAGGGCGTGGGTGGTGCAGTTTGGGAGACCAGTTTAATGGACTAGAGAAGGGAGGTGCCTATTGGCGGGGTAGGGAGTAGGGGGGGTGAAGGAGAGCAGTATAAAAATAAGGTGTTTACTCATCTAGCTACACTGACCCATTTGTAGACAGTGCCCCTGCATGACTTTGCATGTGTGTGTGCGTGTGGAGAGGGGGGGTGGCGGGGAGGGGGGATGTGTCTACAGTCTTGTTTTTTTTCTGGTGAGGATGGGGCTTCTTCAGGTAGGTGACAACTTACAAAGTGAGGACTTCATTTGAGAAACTCCTCCTTTTACCTTTGAGCACCGTTTCCAACCCTAGATCCTAGACCTAGATGATAAAATTGGACTTAGAGAGATTAAAATACTTGCCCAAGTTGTCAATTGGTAAGAAAAGGAGAATTCAGATCCATAATTTTGGCTTTTCTTTTTTTTTTTTTTTACAATCTCAAGCTCTTTCTCAAGCCAAAGAAAGTAAACTCTTTTCAGAAAGATATAGGCGATTTTATCTTTTATAAGCATTTTCCCTGAATTTGAAAGTAACACTTGTTTATTTGTAAAAGATTTAGAAAATACTGAAATGTTTAAAGAAAAAGTAAAAAATTATTCTGGCAATGACTACTGATAATATCCGTCTGGTCCTTTTCTATGCCGATATATATTATAATAAAATTAGAATAATACTGTAAACAGCTTTGTGTGTTTTTTTAATCCTCACCCCAGGATATATAAGAGGTCACTAAAAATGTATACATACTTTTATAACTGATAACTCAATTTTGAAAATGAACTGTATGTTAATAAACACTGACTTTATAATCATTTATCATTTTGGGGGACATCCTGTATTTCCATTGATTTGAGAGAAGGGGGAGAGAGGAATGGGTTGCCTTCTTAGGGGTCCTGACCCTGACCAGGGATGGAACCGGAAACCTAGGTATGTGCTCTGATTGGAATCGAACCCTCAATACTCCCCTCCCCACAACCAACTGAGCCACCCCACAGGGCAACATCTTTGCATTTTGCTTTTTAACATGATCTCATTTATCATCATTATCATTCATTTAACATTTTCTCACTTCATGGCTTTTTATAACCATACCTTTTAATTACTAAATAATACTCCATCCTATGGATGGACCATAATTTTTTTTGTCTTCTATAATTGCCTAGTTAAGTTACTAGCCTTTTACAGCGATAAACATGCAACGGTTAAAACTTTTCATAAGCATTTATTCTGTATTATTTCCTGAAGGCAGATAGGGCCAACAGGTATGAGTATTTTAAGGCATTATATACATAATGCCGAAATTGTTTCCCCAAAAGGTTCTACCGAGGAGCCGCATGTGAGTGCCCCTCCAGCACCCTCACCGAGGGTGAGCACTAACTGTCATTAAAAAGCCTTGGAATGTGCTGCAAAGGGGCATCCCATCGTCGATCACACAGGTTGCTGGGCGCCCGGAGGATTGCAGGGCGGAGACCAGTGAGCAGGCGGCGGCGACGATCCTGCTGGGACAGGAGGCCAGGCAGTGGGGCGCAGGGAACCAGAAAACGCAGGGGACTCGCGGGGCAGTGGACACGGGGGAGGAGGCCGGTGCGGATAAGACAACTGCGCTGGGTGGGGTGCAGGGGCGGACGGAAGCTGCGCGTTCCCCCGGCTTCCTCCTACCGCACTCTTATCGGCTGGTGGGGGCACCGAGTGGCACACCCCTCCCACCCCTTTAACAGGGACACTCCCCTTTAAGGCGGGCGCCCGCGCGCACCCGGCCCCGCCCTTCGGGTGCGCGCGCGGCGGCGGCGGCGCCGGCTCCGCCGGGAGCGCACGTGCCGGCGCCGGGCGGAGGAGCGGGAGGCGGGAGCGGGGCCGCGGGAGGAGGGGAGGCGCCGGGGGCGCGCGCGCGCGCTGGGCGCTGCTGGGCTGCGGCGGCGGCGGCGGCGGTTACTATGGCGGAGTCGGCCGGAGCCTCCTCATTCTTCCCCCTCGTCGTCCTCCTGCTCGCCGGCAGCAGCGGGTCCGGGCCCCGGGGAATCCAGGGTGAGTCCGGGGCGGGGGGCGGGGGCCGGGATGGAGAGGGCCGGGCGAGGGCGAGGCCTCGCGCCGCGGCGCCTGGGCTCCAGCGCGCCCCTTCCCCACGCGCACAATATGGCCGGGCGGGGGGCGCGGAGGAGTCGGGGTGACCCCAGTGGCTCCTCCTCACCCCCTAGGCTCGGCCGTCCAGCCCCGACCGAGCTCACGCCGGGCCCCTGAGGACTCGAGCCCTCTGCCAGGCGGAGCTGGATTCGGGGAGCTCTCGGGGGTTGTGCTCCAAGCACCCCTATATATTTCATAAAGGGAGTACGGGCTTCTTTCCAAAGATGTGGGGATCATGTTTTTGCCCCTCGGCTTGTCCAGGGGCGGGGGTCTTGGTTTCCTCTCCCCAGGTGCTCCTGGGGGGGATGCCTTTTCTCCCGCCAAGATTGTGGGGCTGCGGCGGGAGGGTCTTTGCTTCCCGAGGTATCCAGACGCGGGGAGCCCAGGCGCACCTCCGAGGGCAGGGGAAGGGGTCTCTAACCTTTCCTTCCGACCCGGGGCATCCCTTCGCCTCCCTCTGCTCCCTCCCTCATGTTCCGGGCAAGGGAGTCACATTTCCCCTTCGCGCAGCCCCTGGAGTTCAGTGGGGCACCCCCCCCCCCCAATTCACACGCCCTGTGGCAGCTCTTTGGAGGAAGTGGGACGACCAGGCCCCTCCGCTGGGGAGGAGTTTGCCTTCGAGCCTCTCTAATCCTAGGAGACCTGGTTCCCGAATGGTTAATCTTCATCTAGGTGTGTTTGCTCTCCACCTCCCTCCCCCACCCCACCCCACCCCACCCCACCCCAGGGGGCCCATTCAGTTGCTCACTTCGTGGACGCCTTTCAGGTGAAATCCTGGAACCCGCCTCCAACCCTCGGGATGATTTAAAGATCCCACCACTGGACCCGCTCCGCGGCCCGGGGTCAGTCCTGATTTGCCTTTCCGCACGACCCCTCTTAACCCCCCTCCGCGCTCGCCCTCCCCTGCCCGCACACACCCCTCACCTTCCAACGCCCACAGCCTTTGGCTCCCCACCCCACCCCCACCCTCCCAGCTAGAGAGGTGGTACCTTTCTGTGGCACCCTCCACCGGGTGCGTTATTGATGAGGCTTTGTGGGGCTGAGAAGAGCAGATGAAACCCTCAGATATTTCATTTAAGAGAGTTGTCTCCGAGGTGTCCTGGCACGGGGGTAGCAGATGTAGGTTATATTTGGCAGTTATATTGGAGTGATTATTGACCCGCAGATGGATCTGGGAGAGGCTGTCAGGACTGTATATGCTCTGATGTACAAAGCCTGCTGCTTTGACTTCTCAGCAGCCCCCCGCCTTTCAACAGTGGGAGATGAAGTGTGTGTTCTGTGGCTCTCCTCTCTACACTCCAGATAATGATTCTCAGGTGGTTCAGGCTCCTTTAATACACCAGACAATCAGGAAAGGACCTCATCCCACTTTGGAGTGTCAGAAACAAGTTCATTGTCTCCAGCTCCGATATTTGTTCCCAGTGGTGGTGCCTGTGCAAGTGGGGTCTTTGTTCAGTGGCTAATACTTGTGTTCAGCACCTGGCGTGTGTTCCTGGGTCTCCGTGCGCTGTGCTCGGCGATATGCGGTGGTTCTGATAACACAGGGAAGGTGTGTGAACGCAGCCTGACATTTAAGATCATGGCTTTCGTGAATAATGTTTTCTGGGCCTTATTGTGGGCCATGGTTTTGGAAAGTGTAACATCATGTTATTTCTCTACTGGGGTAGTAAATAAGGAGACTTGGGCTTCAGGTTTGTCACCTGATATGTGTATGAATAAATCTTTAAATTCCTTCCATAGGAATTTTTATCCAGTCCCTACTGTATGCAAGATTTTTAACAGCCGTTTCCCTGTTAACTTGGTGTAGTGTCTGTGGGGCTTTTCTTGTTGTGAGCTTAGTTAAGAATGTTTAATTGATAATCCAACTGGTTCTGAATGGGGCAGAGTTCATTTTATTTTTTTTTGTAACCTTCCTAAAATGGGTGTTTGTGGGGGTGAGATGGGTGGTCAAAATAGGGAATTAGTTTCTTTTTTTGGTAAACTGGAAATTGGGTTGTGTGTCCAGCAAACATTCTCGAAGGCCTTTAAACTTCTTGGCCAGACACTACAGTTTTTTCCGGGACACAGCTAGTTGCCAATAGTGCATGCTACAGAGACCACTGTTGCAAAAGGCTTAAAGTAAAACGTCAGTTCTGGGAAAATAGAGGCTGATGATAACAAGAAGTTGATTGCTTTCCTCCCCTGCACTTCCTCTGTCAGCTTCCCTAGGTGGGCTGGAGGAGCCCCGGAGCCCCAGCCCTGCTGCCTGCTGCCTGGGCATGACATGAGGACAGCAAGGGAGAGGTGTTTCTTTTAATTAGTGAACTAGTAAAAGGCCAGCGATAAGGCGAATGACTTCCAGGTTATATATAAACAGCATCCATTTGATAGGTGTACCAAGTTTTAAGGCCTCTCTTTGGAATTTTCACACTATATTTAAAAATGTAAAATTGCATTAGTTGGTAACAGAAGACACTCATTTCTTAAGAAGAAAGCAATAATCATGGCAGCAGTTGAGCTTCTGATAGGAACATTTTGAGCTGCTTTGAACAGACTGAAAATCTCCTTTCAGGCCAAGTCTTGTAACTTCATTCAGTGGACGTGGTTTTGAAGTACAGTTGAAAGTGAACTCTTGGAGAGAGGAAGGGAATCTCTGATTAGTTTTGTTAAAAGCTCCTGGAGCAGATGTGATTGGAACATAATAAAATGGCTACTCTGGTTAAAGGTTAGAGCCAGAGGGAGGGAGGGAGGAAGCTGGTTTTCAGCCCCACAGTGTGGCTCCCTTACAGGCTGTCCTTGAATAAGTCACTGAGCCTCACTGTGACTGCCTCGGTTCTCCCTCCGTCACGTAAGGAAGCAGTCTGTGTCGCTCTTATTGGGACATTTGTGAGACTGACTTACCGATAGCCAGTTGGCTGGGAGGTATTTTTAGACATAGTTTCTGACTTCAGTGAACAAGCGAAGTTGCGTTACTTTTTATGTTTTGGGGCAGAGTAACATACTGTCGGGATTGACAGAAGCGCCACCGCGTCACAGTGTGGTTAATTTCTTCTTATTTGTGCATTTTTGAAGATGAGTCAGATTTCTGTCTTTTGACAGGCTCTTCCATCGTAGACCCGGCAGCATACCTGTGCTAATCAAAAGCAGTCTGGAGGGAGTGACCTGCTTTAGGCTTTATTGGTTTGGCAACGTTTTAATTCTTACGCAACTCTGGGTATGTTTATGGCACTATGTAAATGTTACATAAGAACATGGAAGCTGCGAGGTGGCCGGCATGGTGCCTGTGAACACAGGAAGGTGAGGCTTCATCCTAAAGGACCTTGGGAACCTGCAATCAGTGCAGGAAGAAGCGGCACTTCATTTCCCTCTAGAAACCTTTTTAGTTGATTGTGTCTTTCAGGTGGACTGCTGTGTTATAAATAGGTTTATTCTCCACTGGTGAGCTAATTGTAACCTTGCTACCAAAATATGAATCAGAAGGCGAGGAGAGGAGACGCGCTGCTGCTTTCAGCAGGTCCTGTGGAAGCCGCTTGTTGCATTTTGGAACATGAGTTGAATTGCATTGCAGTCTGTTCTCATAATAACTCAGGAGTACAGGGTGTTGAGGTGGAATGGAATTCTCAGTTCATGGTGCTTTAGGTCTTTCTTTTTGAAGGTTAAATTAGAATACTGAAGTGGCTCTTTTGTTTTAATTTTGAAATCCTTATTGTTTACTGTTCAGTTTTTGCTCAGAGCAGCAGTGAACATTAATTCTGGAATCCCGCCTCCTTGTCTTGAATTCTTGTGTTATTTGTCTGTTATAGTAGGGGTTGATGTAAGGGGGTCTTCTCTCACTTTCCTCTCTGAATTTATGCAATGAAAATCCCAGAGTCCTCTTTCTCACCAACCCTGCTGCTGCTGGAAGTGCTGCAGGCATCCGGAGCCCGTCAGTTCCGCCTAGACTGGGGTTGCTGAAACCTCCTAAGGAATCAGCTGCTCAGACCTGACAGTCCCCCACAGTCTTCTAACTTGCATGCTCTCACTCTGCAGGCACTGCTTCCTGGCCAGGTTCGAATACCTGCTCGTGGTTTTTGCTCACCTCAGTTTCTCACACATGGTTTAACCTGAGCTTGGGCTCCAGAGGCACCATCTCGGCCTTGTGTGTTCTCCCTTCCTCTGGCTTCTCTATCAGGATAAAAGCAGCACCAGGGGAAACTGCCACTGCAGAGTGTATCTTTCTGTCCCTCGCTCTGTAGAGTTGCCAGAATTTAGTTGTGAAGTTTCCATCCCAGGTGATCTCACCTGCTGTCTGGGTTTCAGATGGTGCTACTTCTGGCAGCTTGGGGGTTCTTTTCTCTCTCTCTCTCTCTCTCTCTCTCTCTCTCTCTCTCTCTCCCTCTCCCTCTCTCTCTCTCTCTCCCTCTCTCTCTCTCTCTCCCTCTCCCTCTCCCTCTCCCTCTCTCTCTCTCTCCCTCTCCCTCTCTCCCCCTCTCTCCCTCTCTCCCCACGTAGTCTTTTTTTCCCCTCTCTCTTTCTCTCTCTCTCTCCACTTAGTCTTAAGCCTGCATTTGTCTTGCTAATATGTTAAATTTAACATAATAAAAGTAACTACTTCACCCTCTATAGCAGTGGTTCTCAACCTTCCTAATGCCGAGATCCTTGAATATAGTTCTTCATGTTGTGGTGACCCCCAACCATGAAATTATTTTCATTGCTACTTCATAACTGTAATTTTGCTACTGTTATGAATTGTAATGTAAATATCTGATATGCAGGATGTATTTTCATTGTTCGCGACCCACAGGTTGAGAACTGCTGCTTTATAGTATCAGTCACCCCTAATATTTACACAATTATATACAGGAGAATTCTTTATTCATTCAGATGGGTATGTGCCTGGAATGGTTCTTTTTATTTTTTTTAATATATTTTATTGATTTTTACAG